TGTAACCTGTCTAGACCTAGCTGGATTCTGTCCCTCCCCACACATGTCTGAGAAGATGTCAAAGAAGCTCAGGTCCAGACACAGGGACCAATAGCAACAGGGGCCTGTCTCCCTGCAACGTTCCAGGGACCAGTACCAATAGGTCAGAATCCTCATAGAGGGGAATGCAGTGCCTCCTGCTCCCAGGCTTTTTATTGGCATCATGCTGTATTTCACTCATTTCATCTTGGCCTGGCACCATACCCAGGCCTTGTTGTAGCCCTAGGCTTGCATTCACTGGGCAGTAAGCTTGAGTATGTCCCTGTTGTTGTGCCCTTTGTGGAGCTTGTCCTGGTTTTCCTGCTCAAGACAGTAATGAGATCCCTCATCTCTCCATGGCCCTAGTTATATGACCAGAGCTGGGTACTGGAGGAAAATGGGAAAGGGCCTTCCATCATTCACAGCAGGGTGGCGGTCTCAGCATCTGTGGGTGGCTATGGGTCCAGCTGCAAGGAAGTGGGCAGATAGATGGAAGGAACAGTGGGTGCCCATAAATGCAGGTCCTGGCATATGGCTCTTCCTCTCACTCCAAGTGGATACGGCCCCTGCTCCAGAGTCATCAGGGCTTCACAGGCCAGGCCACTCATAGGACCTCAAACTTTCCAGGGGTTTCCAGCAGATGCCCCTGTAATGCTGGCAACACCCTATGCCCCAGGGACTTGGAAATTTCTAGTGAGCTCTACAACACTGAGGCAACTGACCATGCCCCATCTGCTCCTGAAGTTTCCAGGGGTGCCCACGTGTTTGCCCTAGCTTGGATGCCTAGGCCCCCTCCCCTACCCCAGCCCTAGTATTCTGGGACCCTGTAGCTGCGGGCCAAAAAAATCTTTGCCGCACCCCAGGTGCCCATGGCCCAAGTACCTGTTGGCAGTGGCTGAGCAATGGAAGTCACAGGGTCACCACCATGTAGGGCAAGTTCCACTGTTCTTCCCCCTGCAACTCCATCCACCAGAGGTGATCTGCCCACACCAGCTCTTGCTCGGGGGGAGAGGGGGTGTCTGCTGGCAGCCAAGTTGCAAGATAGGTCAGGCCTCTGAGATGTGGTGTATAGGTGCCAGGGTTGGTGTCTGTGGAGCTGTACCTGAGCATGGGGGTCCCCAGCTAGGTGTGAGGGTGCCAGAGTTGGGGTCCATAGGGCTGTGCCTAAGAATGGGGGTTCTCTTGGGCTCAGTGTTGGGGTCTGCAGGTACACTGTGGGGTGCTTTATGATGGGGGCTCAGATGCCTCATTTTCCCCCCACCCCATCTGCATGTGGCTGACAGCTGGCTGAAAGCTGGAGCCTAAAAGTGGGACAAGGGAAAGGGGCTGTGCCTGCTTGATGCTGGGACATCCCAAGGGTGAGGAGTGGGGCCTGCTGGGCACTCAGCTGGAGCAGCTGAGCACAGGCTGTGCGCCAGCATGACTTCCTGTGAGGGAGGACTGCAAAGCAGGCTGGGATACTGGAATGAGTAATTTGAATGAGTAGGGGAATAGTGCACAAGTTTGATATATCAGTCTAACCTGAATGGATCTCAATCAAGTATACCACAAATATGGTCTACTTTAGAGCACTTGTGCCATTTTTAGATCAGTTTATGTGCACTGAGCTTCTGTACAGTTACGAGTTTAGATTGATCTATGTTCACTTAGGTAGGTCTAAGCATAATGTCTGTCTGTGCCCTTAGTTATACTGTTCATCTCCAAGAGATCCAGCAATGCACTGGATGCTTTTCTTAATACTCTAAGGAAAGACTAGTCCTGCTCAGAGCATCCTGGATTCTATGGTTGCACTTCCAGGAACCCTGTGGTTATAAGAAGTGTTATGGGGGTGAATTGGTTAGGTGCCTACGGATCTTTAGGTGCTTATGGATCCAAAGGCAAAAGTTCAAGTCTTTCTCTGGGCTTGTGTTGAAGGTTGTTCCTAACAAACCCAGTTGCAACTGGGAATCTTTCTAGCCATGGAATAAGATATAGTAAAGCACAATGTTACCCAGGTCATTCCCATACATGCCATTGGCTACAGGACCTGATGTGTCTTAACTCTACCAGCTGGATGGACCTTTGACCTTATGATAATGCCTTTCTCAAAGAGTTTTAAGTTTCAGCCTTGCAGGAAAGTCACCTTTTACCTAACTTTGGCCACTTGGTAGAAGGTATATTACTGAACAACCTAGCACAGAACTGATTGCTAGCAAATTAGTATCCATTCTTCTCTTTAAGACAGAACATCAGTAGCATTCCCTAAGCAATATTGTTGCTTATGTACTACAACTGCAGCCTTACTTCACTACTAAAATTGCTCCAATGTTGGAAAAGCATTCAAAGGGGAGAAGAACTCTGAGCAACTAAAATACCTTGCTTTTAAATATAAGAATCTTTAAATATGCAATACTTTCCCCATAAAAAACTCAGATGTATTTAAAATCAATTTACTGTAATTATAGAGGAGCCCCTCAATTGAATGGAGAATATGTAAAATATTAAATGCTGAAAGGCAAATTTTCTTCAAGCAATTATTAAAACTATTAGAGGCAATCTCTCTAATCTGCCCAATGGTGGGAGTGAATATTTTACAGATGCTGACATGTACAGAAGTATTAATGCCACTCTCCACCCCCACAAGTTCACAAGGGCACATTACATTGGCAATGAACCACATCATACAACATTTTCCAGTTGAATTTGGCTGAGCCTCTTAGTAGTTTAATTAGAATAGTCAGCAGAAAGTGCATAGTGAAGTAACATTTGAAAGAATCCAGACAGAGTGGAAAATATGAAGGAAATATGGCTAGAGACAGAGCTAAATTAGAAGCATTTTATCAGTGATAAAGGGAAATGACAGTACATTTTGTACCTAAATGAGAAGGGTCAAAAATTAAGAACAACTGGACAGACTTGTGAAGAATGTTCATGATCTTGCAGGGGAAAAAATGTTATCTGAATGTTTGTAATTTCTCTATCATCTCCCTCTTCCACTCTCCCATTTTAAATTTAACTTGTCCATTTCTAATTTCTGTGGTAAGCAGATACCTAAAGAGAGGTCATCTAGTACTTTCCTATAGCACAGTAGGATTGTTTCTAGCTGGTTATTTGCTTCCTAACAGTACCTCCAAAGTATTTAAAAATACAAATGGTTTCTCCTGTCAGTTCTTTCACATCCTACTTAAGAAGTAGCCTAAAAAGATCATGTTCATAGTTTTTTCTCCTCAGTGTAAATAAAATGTGAAAATTAGTCTTCCACTATAATTTCAGCAGACATTTCTGTTAAACTTTTTTTAACACAGAAACATGGAACATTTGGAATTTGGGCAACACTCAAATAAAAAAAATGGAAATGTTAAAGTTTTTCCCCCATATCAGAACATTAGAGGAGTCAAATTTTAAAACTTTTTAAATCAAATTATAATGATGTAAAGACAGACAATGTCTACATTATGAAACTGGCTCGAGTGTTTTACACATCCCTGTCAGATAGTGAAGCTTGAGTGCTTTTTAATTATTTATTCACATGTAATTTCCTCCAGTTTATTTTTGTTGCTCTTTTAATTTTTTTTAAACAACTCACTTTTCTGGCATTCAAATTTCTATTGCTAAGTTTCCAGTTAGTGTCTCACTAGTGTTGCAAGAGAAGACCTTTTTGGTCTATAAAAAGATTCCCATGTACTACCAACCCTCCCCTTGCCCTCACTCACAACTGTTCTACTTCCATTTGCAGTCCACTGCCTACATGCCCAATTGAGATGACATAATTAGGGATGCAGAGAGCTTTTCTAGAATCCTATAATCTCTCTCTCATTTATTTTCCTTCTTTTTAATTAGCCCCTAATTTTTATCTAGTGTCACCAGGGAAGTATATTTCATAGTAATTTTTCAGCTGAACTATATCCCAACCAACAATGCCTGGCTTTCCTTTCTACCTCCCAGTTGCCATTATTTATTGGCAGATCAGACTAATAGAAAAGGCAAAGGTATGTCTAATGAGGCAGAACTGACAGATTTGGTCAGTGTCCTGGATTTTGTGGGAGTGTTTTTTTTGGTGACCCGCAGGTCTCATCCACCTGTTGTGCATACAGCTGGTTTAGGGGCACTACTTCTTCCACCCCCAAATAATTGCATAATGTAGCAGATAATGGCTGCACTACCAACTACAAACCCTTTCAGATGCATATCCCATGCACAATTTAGCTTATCCCACTGGTTTTGTAATAAGAATTGAATGTTCATTACTAACTTATTTGGAATTTAACATTCAACTCTGATTAATGACTTTATCACTGTCTTCCTGAGTTTTAAAACTGTAATGAATACGAAGGACTTCCATTGATTAAAAACTTAGTGAATGTTGTTATCATAACTTTTGGCACTGTTGACCTAGTGAACTACACTGTAGGCTTTTCAAAGCAGAAACTTTGTTGTTTTATGTGAATAGTAAAGTTCATTTTAAATTGCTGGCAACCACTTGGATTTTTACTTTTATAGGCAATTTATTTGGAGAAATGTGCTGTTTTTTGTTACATGTTCTTTCAAAATGTTATAAAGTTATCAAAATAAATCCATTGCCACTGGTAAATACATAACATCTCCTGTAAGTGACAACAGTAATAATAAGAACCAACCCCAGTAATAACATAAAAACCATTAATCAAACATGAACATAGTGGTCTACCTAAGTAATATAGTTAGTTTTGTTTCCATAATATTAGACACCATCATATACAAATGCTATAAAGTAGTCCTGTTAACAATGAACTTTTATTTGCTAAACAAAAGAAAAATAACTACTGCATGGTAAATGGAAAACATGTGAATTTAAGAAAAGAGGTAAAAGAAAAAATAGCTTTTGGATGTCTACTGTGGCTCAATCAATTGCAGTCTGGATTTCTATTATGCATTCTGTCCTACATTCTTGTGCATGTCTCCTACGGATATTTGTAATAATTCTAACACAAACAGCATAAGACAGGTGGTGGGTGAGATTAAACAACTGCTACTGATCAAACTTGTTTCCATTCATCCAAAAGACCCCAGACTACTTCTGCTGTAAAATGTGTGTGTACTTGCCAACACAAAAGTACAATTTCTAAAGTAATATTCTGTCTTTCTTTCCCCTCCCACAGTTCACCCATATTTTTTCATCAATCAGGTTGGTAATTAGAATTAAAAATACACATTAAAGTATCTACACACTGGTAGAAGCAAGTCTGAAATGTTACCTTTGATTATTTTCTACAGTACTAAATGCAAATTCTATAGACAGATTACTGTTTGTATGAGGCTTTAACAGGTTACTCAAATAGTTGATATATTTACAGTTTTCCAAAACTGTTTGCAGTTTTCTTTATAGCAACTCTGCAACATGGTTGCAAATTCTATGCTGTGTTCATCATTTTATCATGAAACAACACCTACTTGGCAATCTGGGAGTGTCTATACACATGCTCTGGAGTTGTGGGGGAGGGCATTTAATTAGAGCAGCTCCTGGACGACCACTCTACTTAAAATGCCACAGCATCATGTGCATTTAGTGTCCCACATTTCAGAATGGCTGTGGGGGTGCTTTAACTTAATTTCATCC